AGGGAAGAAGTCGTATTTGCATATGGAAAAAATGTTCCCGGTCGTGCCAAATGGGGGAAACCTTGAGATGGAACCGCATTTTGCAAAATTTCCCCAACGGCAGGACGTGCCCTGTTCGCAGGTATCAGTTCCCAGGGAATGAATTCTTTAACTATTAGTCATTCTTAGCATTTCCGAACGTGCCTGCAGTCAAGAAATTTTCGTGGCCGTAGTCGTGACGAAATATCACGACAATAGTGTCATACAGATGATTATGATTATGGAGGTCAGCTCATACATATATACCATGTTGATGGAAAGCTCCAGAGCGCAATTCCGCACTCGTCAACAATTTTTTGAGGACACTACGAAATCAACAAAGATTGCTAATGTAAAGAAAAATTTAAAAAAGTCAAGCAGAGTGGCGAGGAACTTTTTGAACAACCTAGCACTGTGTTAATTTAATGACGTTAATGATTCCCGCTTGAGCAACTCGATAGTCAGCGGGAGTACAGATGATACAAACTGATTACGGACTGCAGGGCCTTATAAGTAAAAGTTAAAGTAAAGTGGAGATAGTAGAAGTTTTGACTTTTCTCGTCTGCTGTTTCGGACAGCAACGATGTTCAGAAGAAGCGATTCCTGCATTGTATCGCTTCTAAATGAGACCCATTTAGCTGCATTGCATGTTGTTCGGCTTATCTGTCTTTTTGTGTAGAATGCGGTCTGACTCTTACATGTTGAAAGCAGGCAGGTGCTCCCTCCGAGCTACGGTTGTCCTTGAATCTCGGCGCTCTGTATATAGAAGCTGCAAATTGTCCGTAGGACTCCGAACCGATTCCTACCTCAACGTGCATATAAAGAAGAGAAGTGTTTTGTGCGAGTTTCCGTTGTTGTCATAACAATTTTAGCTTTTTCCCCATCACCTCACTCTGACCGCTCACCGAAGGAGCGAGCTAGCAGAGAGACTGCTAGCTATTAGCTATGCTCAGGGGGTTGGCATGTGCCTAAGGGGTGTCCATGGCTTAGTTGTTCAACTTCTACCGGAACTCTTGGGAATTCATTTTTTGGATGTAGCACAGACTTCGTAATCGCCTATCATCATCTGACACATTAGCTGATAAACGTTCACATCTCACTTTACAAAACTGTAGTCTCCTATCTTGAAGGGCTGGAACGTTTAGAAGATCGCTTAATTACTGGGGGCATGCTCGTTATAGGTCTTGTTCACCTTCACCACGACAGCTTTTGTCTAGAGCCAGCCTAAAAGGTGTGAGGTGGCGCGGAAAGCTGCATCGGGTTGGTATTGCAACGGTCTGATCTCCGTGGAAAGGAGCGGTGTGACCTCGCGGATTTAAGCACAGTCGCAGTTCTTAGATATGTACAGTCTATACCTGACATCGATGTAACGTTTAGACAAATCAACATAAACTGATCAAAAATTCTGTCACAAAAATTTTCTTCTGATCTCACCTGCGATCACTGAATTTTTAGACAACGACATACAGGTTATTGCTGCCAACAATGAACTTTTCCTGAAGGAACATATGCTACCTCTGGCACCGGTAGGTTTTCTTATTTATTCGTATAATACAAGGTGTAAAACAAGGTGCAAAATGTGTGGCTGCATTGCAACATTGCATTTTGCTCTTACTTTGCCTTACACGTCGAGCCCGCTGGTAGCCAGTCCATAACTGTAAATTTTACCTCAAGTTGTCCTACTAAGGCGAGAAAAAGCTTTGAAAAGCGAAAAAGCCATCAAGGCAGAAGCCGTGATAATACTAACACGACTTACCTTTTCACGCGGGTTTTTGAACAAAACGTAACAAACAGCAGCAGAGTTCATTTCATGAATCATTGTCAGCTCCACGTTCGTTACATTTCCTAACGGTTCAATGAGCTGCAAGTCAGCACGCAAGTTGTCAGTGAAGGAGTTTTTCTCCTGGTGACGACAGTCGCGTTGTCTATGGCGTTTTTTCGCTTGGTCCGCAGTGGGACAGCGGTGGCTCATAATGTGCCTCATTTCTCTAGTGAATCTTTCGGAAAGCGATTAAACTACGGAATGAGGTATTCTATCCCCACTATTCATGGACACGCAGAACAAAGAAAAGAAAAATCGTTGAAAATGAAAAAAAGCCATTTACTGTGCTGAAAAATCGAACAAATGAAAAGTATTAAGGGGAGCCTAAAGCATGCAAGTAGCTCAACTTCTGTTTGACACGTTCCCTTAGACGGAAGTCGAGCCGAAGCATAGTTCTCAGTGTGCACTCAGCAGTATGGGAAAGTAGGAAGCAGGTTCCCTTAGTCACGCTTGCTTTCCGCCGCGCCGCGATTTTAATCTTTCAAATTCTGTGTTATGATTCCTACTTTTGCGATTTTCTGTACTTCACCTGTTTCGCATATGCTCGTAGAGTAACAGGGGTTGCAACCTAATCCAGCGCACCGACAACCTTCCCTGTCAAAGGCAGGTGGCGCGATAAACTAAGGCTACAACCTCCTATGTGTGTCAAATGATCCACTAAGCGATTGTAAAGACTGCATTGTATTCAAAAGTGCAAAGCGCAAGAATTCTTGAGGAAGCTGAACAGTTGAGCCCATGAGCACCCTTAGACCCATGCCAGCCCCAGTGGCTACTGACTGTTAGCTAATAGCCACTTTAGTAGCTCTCTCCATCCCGAATGCTAATCTGTGAGAGAAGACATGATATCGCGATGATAATAACGAGTAATTCGTACAAACACGCCTTCTCTTCGATGTGTGCACGTACAATATAGCATCGGTAGTGGGTATTATATAGTGCACTTTAGAATTTCTCTCTTCCTTTTCCTTTACTGTTCAGTTACATTAGTAGGTCCTTTGTATTTGAGCTCCATAACCCACCATATGTGATCGAGGATCAAATGAAATTCATGATTTGCATTTATATGTATAATGCCACCAGTCGGATCGCCCAGGCTGTCGCCGGGCGCTCCTCCTTCTGTGACATGGCCCGGCTTCGCCGGGCCATGCGGATTTGCCGCGTGCTAAGTTAAGGATCGTTGACCAACCACACTGTTCAAAGGAATCTTCTGCATCAGCCAAGAACTGAAAAGCAGCGCCCGTTCCGTCAAGACGCAGAAGCAGCAGCAGCCCGCCGCATCACAGAAGGAGGAGAGCCGGCCTTAGCCAGCGATCCGACTGGTACGTTCGTAACCCACACGGGAATACTATACGGCATAGGCTAACCGCTGAAGCAGCCGGCAACGTGACTTAGATACCCGGGTGGGCGTGGCCACAGGGGCAAGGCTTCGAAATGGACCGGTGTTTCCCAAATTTGTGCTGCAATAGATATTAGACGGGAGCACCGTTTACAAGGTAAACGTTCCTATTGTCTTCAAGGTGTGCTTAATGTTGATTTCATGATCATACGTAAGACCTGATAACCACTTTTTCGCCTCTGCCTAATGTATACCTTTGCAAAAAGCATAAATTCCAATCTAAGTTAATTCTTCCTCTCGGAACTTCTTAGTTCAAGCAGTAGAAACACACAGCTGTTTAATAAGAAGGAAATTATCGTCTCCAAGCTCAGGAAGAAGCGCTGAAGCCTAATTATATCCGTCCACGTCAAGCCCTCGCCCTATTTTGGCCACGCCCACCGGGTATCTAAGTACACGCACCCGAAGCAGCCTATGATTCATGCATTCTGTCCTCTTAAAGCGTCTTGCTTTGGAATGCACTCCCGCATTCAGCAGTGGAACGCTTTAAATGGCCCTCACTAAGGTTGTTGATGGAAGATAATTGTGGTAAGAGTGATTAAGTCAATTGCTGCTGTTCATAACATCTCTGTAAACAAACCCCATGCATTTGGAATAGAGCTAGCTTAGCGGTCGTACATGATGTCGTTACTAATAAGCAGTGAGGAATGAGTTCTGTTGGAATCATTGAGATCGTTATACTTCATATCGATCGCATTGTTGTTGTGAGCGGTGAAGCGGATTTTCCCATGTTACCTTGTCACTTTTAGCTCCTATCACTTCCGTACCCGCCAATAATATTCCCGTCCCGTATCACTATCATATCACCCTATATCACCTCTCGGATCCGAGGTCCCACTGTTGCTGTAACCTGCGTTACGAATTTGGTGACCCTCCCCTTCCGAGGCCCCTTATCGGATCTTATCAACTGTTATCACTTTCTGTCACCCGCCAATAATGTTCCCGTCCCATCCCTATATCACTTCTTGGAACCAACGTTCCACGCTTACTGCGACGCGTGCTATGAATTTCGTGACAGACAGACGGACGCACACACACACACACACACACACTGACAGACATACTTAGTGAATTATATATAGTAGGATAATAGGTTCACATTGGAAACGCCCACTCTAAGTATCCTGCAATGTTTTGGTCTTTGTTGCACTTAATTTTTGAGCCTCATCAAGCAGTTCGCCCGCTTTGTGCGAGGAAAGCGTACTTTTTTTGAATCGCTCAAATTTAGAAAAATTAGCTCACCTGTCGCTCGGAGTAATTCGGACCAATTTCTGTGCAAAACCAGTCCCAACCGGGCGTAATGCCACTCCCAAGCCGAAAGGAGTGCTGCATTTGCAACATGGAAACTAAATAACCATGATATGTAAGTCCAAAGCCAAGTATAAAGTAGGCGCCAACTGGCGCCGATGGTTCACCAAAAAATGTTGATATTATGGAGGAGTAGTGGTCAGTACAAGAATACACCGATTTATACCAAGATATATCGTGAGAAGAACAAAATTCTCATCTCACTTTGCATTCACCTATGACAACTGAATAAAAAAGAAAGACATTCATAAAACAAACAACTAACAAAAACTAAAACTAAACTAACTCCTAACAAAAACATATATAAAAGGTGACGGAGGACAACATAAAAATGTAGTGAGCATTGTTATGGGCCACCGTCCACTCCTACTGTCCCAACTTTTCCAGTTGCACACCTCAGATGCAGGAGCAGGGCGATCTTGCGGCAGGAACCATTATCAGTGAGACGTTTCTTCGGCTATGCTGAGTATGTCCGGGCTGAAAGTACTTTTGGAAGCCAACCTTTAGAAAGAGCACTTGAAAGTAGTGAAAGCGGTGGCTTTGAGCAGTGGCTTAGTAGCAGTCGGCTCTAATGCCCCGAGGCCTCCTCCAACCAGGGACTACCGTTTATCGCTAGCCGGAACCAGCCAAGCAGCTTAATTGCTGGACGTATAGAAGAGCTTGTGAGCTTCCGATCAATTCCAGAATCAACAAAAGAACTGTCAGTGATTCTGGGAGTTAGTAGTGAAGAACCGGATATGTTCTGCTGAAGCCGATACAACTGCTTTTTATCATTATTGGTTTCTTCTCACATCTTCAACGCTTCCCGTATCAAACTTGCAGAATTAACATAACAGCTTCTAGAATGGAAGAATTGGAGAATCGGATAAGTTTCTGCTATGCGAACGAATGAAAGCTTTCTTGCAAAAAGAAGTGATTATCATCATTGGATCTGCCGAACACCCTAGTGGTGTCTTTCCATGTCTTCCAGAAGTAGTCAAAGGAGCATATACATATAAGTGTACGTTTCAAGTCTTTTTTTCCAGCAGCAAATAGCCACTCGTGGAACAAATTCATTTTTCTTGCATGTGAAAAATATGAGTACTCAATAAGTATAAACAACACGGAACTTCGAACAGTACAATACTGCTTCAAAATTCCTGCAACTGACTAATGACTGACTAAATTACGACTGGACTGAGTCAGCTCCCTCCGTGAGTTTAGACGTGATCCACAAGTATTGATGCACAGCGCAAACCTTCACCAAGTTTGCAGCAAATTTGAGGGGCTAGATCTGTCAAATTCGTGGACATGCTAAATGAGTGCATTCTATGGTCCGCGTTTATCTTTGTCGCCGAACCCTTCAACTGTTGCCGACACTCTCCTGCTACTTTCTTGTACTTGAAGTCGAATTGCACCGAAAGTTCACGAGCTCATTTGGGGAGCTCTTGAATTTTCTTATAATTCGTTTTCTGAAAGACTCATTCATGTGATGCTCGACAGTGTTTTTTCATCGAAAAGGTAAGTGCCAACGGGCGACCTTGAGGTGTTATAACGCTGAACGTTGTCTAGTGCACTAAAGGTTTGTTGATCATTGCAATCACCGAATAATCACACAGCAACGATGAAGAAAAAGAAAAGAAGAAAACTGGTCAACGTTTTCGTTGCGCTAGCATACCAAAAAAGTCGTTTCAGACCTCGGCACAACTCATCTCTGCACGTTGATGAAAATTAAAAACATGGCTCCAAACACTACCGAATATACTTACGACGTAATCACTGCGGAAAAAGACAAGAAACCGGTCAATAAAATGTTGAAGGTCTTCTATCACAAGTGGTAAAACTATTATAATCACTTAACTTCTACACATCCGGAAATTAAATATTTCATGTGAACACTGAAAAACCCGAAGGTGTTACTTTTCCATTTTTTCCATCGATTCCATCACATGGCAAACATGGGGCCAGACTCATCCAAAGGTCCACTGAAACCAGAAAGTGGTCTTGAAGCAGGAAAAGAAAATCTCACGGTTTGAACACTCGAACCACGCATATTCTGCGCAGAAGCTGCGGTTTATAAAGCGCGGTACAATTTTCGCAATCTTGCACGAATCGGTGCTGTGGTCCGATGTGTTCAGAAAAAGAGAGAGAAAAAGAGAGACAGAGTAGGCTAACGCCACGATGCCCACCCCTTGCACAGTTTCAGGAGCGACGGCGAAAATCCAAAGGAATATGATGAGATTTTGCAATTGGCCAGAGTATATAAGCCGAGCAAAACGGTATGTCTTTGAATCCGCCGCTTGTAAAAGCCTGCAGACAACTACGAAACCGTTGTTGTTTTTAGTTATGTTCTAGCGATCGAAGAAAGGAAGTGTTTTCACTGATTCATTTGTTTCACATATTTTGTATGGAACTGCAGGAACCCATAAGTCTTGCAGATGCCTTACAGCTTCATACAGGTATGCAACAATATGGAAAAATTCGTTATTACTATAAATAAGGGTAATGTGGGCTTTTATGCAAGCAGCGGAGGAAAACATCATGTCAGGATTGATATAGTGAAGCTTTGATACGGCATAAATGAAGAAAAACAGAGGCTGCTGAATAGGTCGCTACACTGCGTTGTTTTAACAAATTTAAAAGTGCCGGTTAAGAAAAGTGCAATGGTGCTGTGCTGGATCGTAGTGAACTGGGTTATGTGATGGCCGTCCTCATGGAATGGGCATACCAGTCACGAAGTGTCACGCCCGAACTGAAAAAGGTAAAAGAATTCTAATATATACATACTTCACGCTGCTTCGAGATACCGCTCGAGATCCTGAAGTATAGCTGGGAATTCCACCACAGTCTTCGTGTATCCCTGATTTAGTTCTCTCTGACTGTCTCTAAACTAGTCCTCCACTCTCTAAACTAGTCATCTTCTGGGGGAAAGAATGAAAATAAAACTTCGAAAAGCACCCAAAAAATGGCTCAGCTGCCTTTCTCGGCACGGACCCAAAAAGCTCCTGGAAGCAAGGCAACCACCCTGCTTAAAGATTAGCAACAGCGGAAGTGCTTTTAATTGAGATAAAGTTGACTCAACAAAAAGTTCGAATATCACATGAACTTTTGAGACGGCTTAATACCTCACGTTTCGCAATATTGGCTCACTTTCAATCAATATGTGCCATCTTGAGCGGTTCGGTTAATAAACCCGAACATCTAATCTTTCAATGCAGAAATGCCTCAGACCGCTGCCGGCTTGTCAGCATTGTTGGTTCTCGTGAGCATGATGGTGACAGCCATTTGGTGTCAAACGGCATACCAACTGGATGTGGTATCTGTGTTCAAACAACTACTTCGGGATAGTTTTCAGTTAGGCTTAAGTCTGGGGTTGTACTATCAATATATGTGGAAAAAAATGAGAAAAATGGATTTCTGAGTTCTGAAAAGCCTCTCCTTCTTTTCCATGGAGAGTAGGTTGCGCTGCTCATATTGGCAGGTGCATAATATTACAGAAGCACATGGAGTGGTGCCATTCGTATGCCATAATGGACAGATTTATGCGAAAACATAAAAATATGTGAGTTTTGCGCTTGGTATCCTTCTGTATCTATCAAGTATCAAAAGGCGGAGGCTTAACTAGTGATGGCCTCATTCCTTTCCGATAGCAGTACAATCTATATCTATTCAATGGCTGAACTTTCCAGTGCACACGGAAAGTGGATGCTGCGGACCTTTGAGACGTGATAAAAACAATAACACAGAAAGAGAAGAAAACTGCTTCATGTTGTTTTGAAAGTACCACAATATTCTGACATTTCATTTCGACTTAGATACTATTTCCGTCAAATCATTTTCGACCGCTAAACTGCGCGTATTCCCAACGGAATTAGGACGTTTTTTGGGCCCTAAACACTTTCAATTGATCATTAAACGGATACCCAGGTCGCAACCGCTGTTACATTCCAAATGCCGCTCACAAACGGAATACCCTCCGCTTGAAAGCCATTTTGTCTGCCGTTCATATCGGAAAAATTGCTCCGTGCGTACGACGAGTCTGCACAGATGCGGCTTGCAAGAAGACGTAGGACTGGTAGAAATACCCGAAAACAGCTTGACCTTCCTCGTACGCAAAGGCCTCTATGACTTCATGGCCTCTCCTGAATTGAGAGGCTTGCCTAGAGTCGGCTACTACATTGCAAAAGAGCACACCGTATTCTATCCTATATCTACCAGCCGGATCGCCCGGCTGACGCCGAGCCCCCTCCTTCCCTTTAGCCTGGCTTCGCCAGGCGCGCTCCATAATGGAAATGGAATTCGTCACTCGCTGAGCTGCTGATGGTATTGCGCTGTGCTAATCGATTCGTAAAGAGTGAGCGGATTCTGCACTCCTGTGTCCACCCTTATACTGCAGCAGGAGTGGAGGACATCATTACATGCGTGTAATGCATGTAATGCTAAGTGTCTAATACGTCAACTGAACAACAACGGCAACATTCCCCAATAGCCCCTATAAGTTGTTATCACTTTATGTCACCACCGTTG